CATTTTAGTCTGTTTGAATACATTTGCATAGACACACATGGTTAGGGGCTGTGATATTGGACAGCACATATAGAAAATAAATCCTCACTGCAACATTTCTTTTTTATACAATATAGGTTGGCCCCAACCTATCACTCCAACCTAAGTTTCCACCACAGAAGCCCTGACTCTCCAGGAGCATGCCTGAGCACCTGCTGCCAACCCTGGACTCAAGGTGTCAGCCCTCATCACTAAGGAGCTGGCTCCTTTCATTCTGACTGCTCTGTGTATGCTTACCTTACTTGACAACACAGGTCAAGTTCTGCCTCTGCTGGAACACTCACTCTGGCAGCCCCAGCCCTACTACTTTGAGAGGAATGGGTCAATTGGCAAGGTCTGGGCCTGTCTGGAAAAGACATCAATATCTCACAGAGCTGTTTATCTTGGAAAATTCCATGCAGATTTATACCTGGTGTATAGGAGCTGAGAATTTCCCCACTTGAGCCAACATAACTAAGAAGGTAAGAAAAAAGAAAAAAAAAAAAACAGGTAAGAAACAGGCTGTGTGCTCTATGTCAAGGAGACTCGTCCCTCAAGGAGAATCTATGGCAGTTCTGCATGCTGCTGTGTGGGTAAGGAGGCAAAACTCCTGGGTACCAACATAAATTTGGGCCTCACAGTGAAATGAAAACGCTGGTCCTGCCCGCTTATCTTCACAGGTGGGTACAAGGCACCAACACTATTGTCTTGAACTCACAACTGCAGCTGTGGTGCTGCCTGTGTGCACTCTCTGGATTCCTAAATGTTCAAGGGCACTTAGGATACTGGTAAACAGTAACACTGGTAAATATATTTTTATATATACATATGTATACGTTTTACCTCAGTCTTCCTTTTTGTTATGTGTGCTTTCTCCTCTCAGGGGTAGCCCCACCACCAATTCACCTGTGCGATGTAACCACAGCCACCTGTGCTCTTCCCTCCCCCCTGTTTGATCCTTCTCCCTCCCCATCCCCTGCAGTGTCTCTAATATATATAGTTGCCTGCTAATTTTGTTTTTTCATTAATTTATATATTTTTTCCTGATTCCTTATTTGGTTCCCCTACATTCCTCCTATACATGAAACCATCTAATATTTTTCTTTTTCTTTCTAGATTATATAAAATATCTTTTGAGGCCCATATTCCAATTGGGTCCTTTAATTTTCTTTTTGACTAGATTAAATGCTGTCCAATTGCAAGGTTTAAAAGTAAGCCTTGGACTATAAGAACCAGCGCAATTCATGGTATAGACAACCTCCTTCTGGAATTAGGGTTCTAGTCTTTTGAGGAATTAAGGGCAAGGATTCCAAGAACCACATCCAAAGAGACAAAAAAGGATGGCTTTTTCCAGAATGGAAATATGTAGCAATCTACAGGATACGTACAGATAGAGACAGGGAAAGGTTGAGGCATTAAAGAATAAAAGCAATATAAGATCCCTACAAATTTCAGGATTAAGATGGTACATTAAGCTTGTGCTATAATCCACCCCAGACTCTAGAAATACAATTATAAAATGTAAACTTTAAAACATTTTCAAATATATTTAAATACAGCTAGAAGGAAGAACATCTCTCGTGGTGTCAGTAAATCACCACAGAGAAGAGGCACAAGGCTCGCCATGCCTTTGGAGATGTGAGCAGGTGAGCAGGTGACAGGCCAAGGCACTGGTCTCAAAGTCCCACGTGGCCAGACACAGAGGGACAGAGCTCACAGGCAAGAGTGACCAGGTTTCTTGTGGGAGGCCTTCAAACAGGCCCTCACATATGGGGAGCTTGATTTGTGTAATCAGTCAGTAGCAAAGAGACTGTCAGATTGAGGCATAATCCAACACCTGGTGAGAGCTGTTAGAAGCCAAAAAGTCCAGGAAGAGAGACAAACACAAAAACACCTCTTAAATGGGCCTTGGGTTGGAGAGGCCATATTAAGTACAAAGTCCCCAAGTTCACTTGCTCCCTTGGCAAATATCATTTAGCAGCAACACTTTGAAGTCTTGGAAAGGAGGAAATACAGCAACCTAGAAGGCAGGATACCAGCTCCAAAGAAGAAATCACTACTGAACTACTGAAGATAATAGGGCAATCCAGAAGCATTTTAAAATAAACAGATGGTGAAAGATTTCTCCATAATCTCAACTCTAGATATAAACTACTGCTCAAATTATGGAGTAAAATCTTCTAAATTCCCTGATCATACAAAGGAATGTGTTATAAACACTGTACAGTAACCTGCCATTCCTCTCTCCCCCATACTTTAAATGATCACACTCATTATCCCACATAGAGAGTACTAGTACAGAATGAACTTCTGGGTCTTCCAAAAATTCCTAAGCCTGATGTGATGGTATTTGGAGGCAGAGTCTTTGGGACGAAGGGAACCCTTCTGAACAGGAATATAACCACAATCTCATGTGTCCTTTCCTGCCAGTAAGGACACAGCCTTCTATGAGTCAGGAAAAAAAAAAAATCCCTCAGCAGACAACGAATCTCATGACATCTTGATCTTGGACTTCCCAACCCCAGATTTATGAGGAAAAAAAGTTTCTGTTGTTCATTAAGTCACCTAGGTCTATGGTATTTTGTTATAGCAGCCTGAACAGACCAGGAAATGCACCAGTCTCTCTTCCTCTATAAAGGAAGATTCTGTTTAATTACATGCCATCACAGCTCTTTAGCCAGTGTCCTATGAATGGACAGATTTAGGCTGCTTCTAATGTTTTAACATCACAGAGTGACAGTGATCATTTTCCAACACCCAACATTTCACATCTGGAGATGATTTCCTTAGGACAAGATTCCAAGATTCCAGGGGAAATTTTTGATAACTATCAGACTGGCCTCCAGAAAAGCTGTACTAATTTACATTACTGAACAACTTTAAATACATGCATTTCTAGCCAAAGAATTTTTTTTTTAAGGTAAGTTTAAAGTAGGTCAGGTTACTAGGGATTCAATTACACAAGAAAACAAGTGACTCACTACTCCAATGACCCTGTAAATACAATAAAGAGAACATTATTTAAATGTGTTTTCATGTGTTCAAAACAGGTTCACACTGTGTGTGGCACAGAAAGCCCAGGGAAGGTCTGCAGTGGGCTCACAGTGGTCCTTCCTTCAATTCTGTGCTTCCAGTGCCCACAGTTAAGTCCTTCATGAAAACATGAATTAACCTAAATTTCACAAAAGTTTCTAGTCCTAAATACATATCAATGTGAAATCATGAAGAATTACCTTGCAAAATATTTGTTTGGGAATTTCACTACAGATAACCCGAAGAAACTCAGGGAATCTGGCTTCCAATATGTGGCCTAGTCTGGAGGAAAAGTCCATTCTAGGTCAGTGCATCCCCAGAGCAGTATATTGTCAGAATGTGTGAAGTGCTTCTGTGGTTTCCACATGAAAAACCAAGATTTACTAAATAACCTATGGTCCAGCTAGCAATCAAATGATATCAGCTTTGAATCAATATTGTAATTATCAGTCTGTTTCACAAATAAGAGATCATCTAGAATGCTTAAGTCAAGTTGAATTATGATCAGGCAAATATCTATAATTTTAGGTTTCTGTTTCTCATTTTATTTTTTAAGTTTTCTTTAGAAAAGACATTACACAAACTATCTTCTGAGGGAAAGAAGACCATTAAGACATTAGTTTGTTGTTCAAGATGTTGAGTAGCAGCACAGATTGAGGGGGCTAGATGTGATAGGATGCTTATTTTCAACTCTGCTCCCCAACCATAAACTTAAGTGATCATCCAGCTTTTCTGTGGTGCCATTCCTGACCTAAAGTGCCTAGTGCAAATTGCCTATTATAGCTTCCTTGGTAATCATTTCCACTTATACAAACACTGTCAGTTTTTAACACACTGTCAGTTTTTAATTAACTACATTAAAAAAGAGACATGACACATGGTAATTATTCAAAATGTTATATGATAGAAAAAATTGTTTTGGAAGGCTTTTTTTTTAGTGAAGAGAGGTGATTATTGTATGACAGCAAAGTGACCTCTCTACTTAAGTTTTCTCTAGTATGACTGCAACATTTGCTTTCTGAGGCCTGCATATATTCATTTTCATTCTACAAACATTTGAAAGAAAATTCCATTGCAGGGAATGCACTTGGGGGAAACCAAATGCCAAATGAAGACCAGTTCTCTCAATTTCCAAAGACCAAGCTAATATGAACATCTTCAAAGCTCTTCCTCCAACATAAACATCTTCATTGATTTCAGACAAAACCCCAGCGTGCCAGTTCCATTGTGGAAAGCCTTTAAAGCAGGTTGTCCTCATTAAAGAATCATTTGCCCTGAATCTCTAAGTTTACCCATGTGTTTTGTGTCTACATCTGCCCTAAAGAGTAAAAAGAATGAGGTTTTCTATGGAAAAAAAAATCAATTATATCTTTCTTCAATTAGGGTCCTATTTGCCAGTCTACACTACATAATTGTTAAGTGGATCATGAATAGCCATTCAGTACAGCAATAGTCCTTGAACCAGCACCTGGATGGATGTATACATTTAACAAAGTCTGTTATTGTTAACAGGCTTTGTCAGCAAAAGATCCACAGCATCGGATCTTTTATGAAATACTTTGACATCCTCGGTATTATTTCACCTGCTCACCCTAATGGAAAGGTGTCTTCCATATGCCCATTGTATGGAGGAAGTCACTTGATTTGACCAACATCATACAACGGTAAATCCAGGCCACCGAAAGCAATCATTCAGCAGTAAGTCCAAGTTCTCTGTAGCTCACTCTGCAGCACACTCAGAATGTGATAGGGCACTGGCCACAAATTCAACTTCACCAAAGGAGATGCGTTCAGTATTTTCATTTTCATCTATAATCGAGAATCAGTGGTCATTTAGCTGACCATATAAGAGTAATTAGTGCCAGCACCATTAAATCTCCTATGTGGCTGGACCACAGAATAGCCAAAGCCACTGTTCAGTTTCTTTAATTTATTGGATCACCACCTACCTTTGTCGTCTCGACTTCTGCATGGAGTCGTCTAGGAGTTCCTTTTTGGTCAAGCACCTTCTGGAAATTTTTGTTTTTAATGGACTGAGTCTCAACACCTTCACCTTCAATCTGCAGTTTAATACCTTCAGTATGGGGAGGGTGATCAATACCCCGTGGATTCAAACCACAGTGGAGAGCTAGGAAAAAAGAAGTAAATATAACTCAGAAAATAAATGATATAAAGAAGGTGCTATGTGATATATTTTGTCTGGCTTTGGGGAGAAATAGGGCATCTTCAAGTTGAGAGGTGGTGTCATACAGTAGAAAATACCTCTGTGAGACATTAACCTAGGAGACCTTGAGCTTTGAAGTCAGAAAGACAAATGCAAATCTAGAAACTTTAAGTTCCAAATTGTGTGACCTTGAGCACGTTACTAATCCTCACTCTACCAAGGAGAATATCAATCAGTTTTGTTCCAGCCTCCCCAACACACAATTATTTCAGTCTCTGCAGTTTAGCTTATATCTCTGCCTCCATTCAGAATCATGTTCACTACTTCAACTTTCCAATCTTCTCTGTTGTTCAAGCATACATTCAAGTGCATCCTCTTGCACTTATTCCACAAGTATTTGTTGAGCAAGAACTATGTACTATCCTGGGTTAGAACCTGGAGATATGGATACTACTTTCAAAGAACTTACAATCAGATAGAAAGGCAGACAAAAGAACAACTGATTTGGAAAAAGTTATTACTGCTACATGGAGAAGAAGGACAGGTAAAGATGAAGTATTTGAGAGAGTTGAGAACATTGATTTTTCAGCTCTTACTCTGCTCATGTTCTCTTATGGATACCCCCAACATACACAGAGAGGCCACTTTCTAGGGTTATTTTATTCATTCAACAAATACCCACCAAGCCCTTCCTATGTGCACAGTATTATCACAGAGGTAATAGGGAACACAGGGAGAATACACACTGTACCCAGATGACTCCATGAAGCCCAGGTGTGGGCGCAAACACAGCCACCTGCATGTTGAGGTGTCTGGCAGTAAATTATCTCATCTCCCCATGAATCCAACACATCCAATTTAAAATCCACATGCCCTTCTCCCTTTTATCGCAGCAAATAGAAGACCAGAACCTTAAACTCTCTCACATCTCATTCAAACCACGGATAATGTTCTTTTACTCAACAGCCTCACTTTCCCACTTTGTCAGCATTCTTCATGTCACCTGATTTCCGCAATGTCTTAAAGTCCTTCCATTCACTCAGCATCCCATCCAGGGTTCCTCCTGCCAGGTTTCTGAAAGAATATACTACATCCAAAGGGGCAGTTTCTCTGAAGTGAGGCAAGGTGTCCCAGCCTCACTCCCTCCACAGGTATGACCCATCCCCATGACCTTTGACATAACTTTCAACTCCAACCTAGATAGCTAATAAGCTTCAGATCAGCATCCCAATTTCAGTGTGTTACAGATGCATCAAAGTTAGTATGTTCAAAACTGAGCTTTGGATTTTGCAGCAAAAATATCCCTTTTCCAATGACTGAAAGACACCATCCACAAGCCACCAATCCTTTCTTCCTCTAGGTCAGGTAAGTTCTATGCTCAAAATGCTGCATCAATCTCACCACATCACACCGTCTCACTCTCTGCTGCTACCATGGGGTCCAGGCACTCACATCTGCCCACACTACTCTTCCTCACATGGCTCCGAAAGACCTTTAAGACGTGTCTACAGGGATCGTGAGATTCTTCTGCTGAAATGGCTTTCTAATGGCTTCATGTTACACTTAGGTCATTCAAAAGTCTTTAACACTGTCTTTTCCAACTTCATTTCTAACCAAATTATTTGTTATTCACTCTGCTCATACCACCTTTTCACTCCCTCCAGCACACACCATTTCAGACCTTTCTTCTTTGCCTGAAACATTCTTCCTCAGGCTTCAAATAATTAACTATCCTTCAGGTTTAGCTTAGGAAACATTTCTTCAGATACATATTCCCTTATCTCCTTTCTTATTCTCATCTCTGCCCATACCCATATTGGATCAAATGTTGAATCAATGAGCCTAAAATACTGATCATACAAAGATCCACATGTGTGTGACTATTTATACCATGGCCCATGGATATCAACTGAATTTTTCTTCTTGTCTCTAAACTTCCTGAAATCAAGAACCAACCTATTTCATGATGTGTAGTAGGCACTCAACAGACATTACTTAATTCACTCTTCTTCCCTCAGGCTTTCTGTTGGATTTTAAATAATCTTCATAAATAAATCTAATTATATTCACTGCACAGATAAAAGAAATGAGGCTTAACGGGTTCTAGTCACAAAAGGTTATACAGGTGTCTGCTGAAGGACATAGAGATCATTTATCATTTAAGATGCACAGGATGTCAAGCCTCAGAACAGCAAACCTAAACTGAGTGGAATAAGGGAAATTACTGACTTTCAGGACGGGAAGCCCAGTAATGGTGGAGGTTCAATGTGGGTAGATTTCCCAGGCCCATGTGATGAAGGACTCTGGATTTTTTTCATCTTTCTGCTCGGGGTCCATAATATCTCTTTTACTCTGAATGAGACCCAATTGTAGTACATAGAGTTACAAGCGGCAGGTTCTCGTAACAGAGAGAACTTTGGTGACAAAGCTGTTCTTTCTCTCAATCCTCCAAATGTTTTGTTTTGTTTTCATTTTCTGCATCCCCATCACTAAACTGAAAGCCTCGCAGTGGAGAGCAGATTCTCCTTAAACTCGTCAGTCCCTAGTTACTAAGACCAAGTCCTCAAACCACACAGTTGTTACTCAACAAGGCAGGGACAGAGTGGATGCTAGAGAATTGAAGACAATGTCCAATTCAAGCAGCAGCAGAGAGAACAAAGCCCGAGAAAGCATGACGCTGCTGCTGCTAACGGCAATCATCTTCGCCATCCAAAATAGCCTGTTTACAACGACTGTTCAACTAAATACACTGGAAATTTGATCATTAAAACAAAGTATGCTGGTCTAAGGAGATGAGATAGGGTTGGCAATGCCCTGACAGGCCAACACATGCTGCCATCCCCAGCATGACCCTAGCAGCCAACTGCTTGGAACTCTCTGACCAGGAATTCTACGGTGGCCGGCAGCTTCCAGAGCCCAACTTCCTCACTGACAGGCCCAGAGGTTCTTCAGTCTGAGACTTTATTGATAATGAAAACAGCTCTTCAAATAACACTGTGGATGCTTTTCTTTGGCATCCACATAATGAAGAATATAATTTGAGGATCTGCTATTCCGCCACCCAGGTACAGGTCACACCTCACCTTTGTTCCATCCTAGGAAGATGTTCTCCCTTTCCCCCATCCCGCTTCCTGCTTTGGGAGGCAAACTCCTAGAAGCCCCTGTGTTAGCTCAGCCCTCTCCCTCAGAAAGTTTCCTAGGAGCCTGGGGATGCAGGAACGCCCATGCTACTGACCTCACTGCTCTCTGGATCTGGTGTTTCCTCTCCTCACTGAAGACAGGTGTCCTTCTAATGGTGCATCTGCCTCACCCACCACCACTGCAAGCCATGGCAGGGGGTATGGTGGGGGGCAGGGGACTGTGCCCCTGACTCATCTTGGTCTGTGATCTCCACCCAGCCCAGCACCAGCATTTGGGAAAACTCCCAAGTCTGAACCCAGCAGCAACTCCTCTCCTACCATCAGGCCTTAAATCAGAAGGAAACTTTGTTCTGCTAGCAGCTACCTAGTATTCAAAATGTAAGATATCTATAAACATGAGGTGGAACGAGGTTTTTTGGCTTTCCACCCACGTAGCCTTCTTCTTCACACAAATATTTTAATCCTCCATAGCCATTCCCTCCTCGCCTGCAAGCCCAGTAGTTGATTTAGGTTTCTGTGCTTGTGTTTTGCACTTGTGTTTATTTAAAACCATTTCTGACAGGCTTGGCTTTGTTTTTTCCTGAAATTTCTTTCATGTCTCTAATATTTACAAATCAAGCAACTTTCAAATGGCCTATTACAAGCTGTGACCTCCATTTCTTTGCTTATCATGTAAAAGGTGCCCCCGTTTGCTTTCTCTCTTCTGTCCTCATCACTACCCTTTCCTGTTTTCACTAAAGTTATTTACTCAATTTAATGGGCTCAGCAGCTCACAGGTCAGCTTGGAGACCCACTTCATCTTTCCAGCTGCTCCAGGCCTTGCAGATTTCTGGCTGCCTGTGGTCAGTACCTGATGCTGTCGCTGACTAGCACCTGCTAGTCCTGAAGTTCTTCTAAATGAAAAATTAAAAGCCAAACAAATTTCCTAAATATTGTTCTTAAAAAAATTAATAGCGTGTTTTTTTTCACTGCAAGTACACGTTAGCATTGTTTTCAGATGCCATTTTGAAGGCACCATCATTTTTTCAATTGCAAAAATCCACTTCTTCAGAAGCTGCATCCCTGTCTATTGCTAGTGGGAATGTGCAGCGGGTAGGTGGGGTAGGTGTGGTGGACACCCCCATGGTAACTGCTATTGAGGCTTTAACACGAGTTTGATCCCTGGTCAGGGAGCTGACCCACAGGGCGCAGCAGACCTCTCCTGACCTGTCCACAGCTCCCCTCAGCAGTGTACTTCATTGATCTGCCTGTTCTGCTCCCCACTTTGTCTCTGATGAATCCTCTCACCACCCCTGCACCTCTTGCTTGTACCCCAGTTCTGTATGCATAAATAAATATTAAAAAAAAGGTAAATGTGGCCCTCCCTGGTGGCGCAGCAGGTTAAAGCACAGCACTAAGAAGCTAAAGCCACTTCCGCATGAGTTCGATTCCCGCCTGCCCCGGAGGTGACCACATGGCGTGGCAGACTTCTCCTGACCCGCCCGCTGCTCCCCTCAGCAGTGTACTTCGTCGATCTGCCTGTTCTGTTCCCCATTCTGTCTCTGGTGAAGCCTCTCGCCACCCTTGAGCCTCTGGCCTGTACCCAGTTCTGTATGCACAAATAAATCTTTAAAAAAAAAAAAAAGGTAAATGTAAACAGTATTGTCATCATCAACCCAACAATTGAGAGCAGAGACTTACTTGAACATCCACGTTCAGAACTCTATTACTGGTGATAACCAAAAGGTGCAAATGACCCAAATGTGCCATAATGGGTGAATGAAGAAAATGTGGCATCCGCGCAGAGAGGAATTTATTCCAGTCTTAAAAAGGAATGGAATTCTG